TTTTTTTTTTTTTTTTTTTTTTTTTTTTTTTTTTTGATGTCTACAACTTTGTCTATTTAAAAATTTCTTTGAAAGCTTCTTTATTTTATAGCAGTCGCCAAGGAGAGTCAGCACAAAATCGCCGACCTATCGCCAGTCACACCGGCCTGTCAACCAAAATCCTTCCCAATAAACTAGAATCCGGTTCTCTCTCAATTTTTTCTCATCTTATTTTACTTTTTCTTCTTCTATCGCTACTATTCATTTTTTGTTGTTTTCATCACTGTTTTTTTCTGTTTTTCAATTTGGAGAAAATTTTTTGAAACTGACGCTAATTAGAAGAACATTTCTTTAAATTTATCTTCACACGTTTAATAGGTATAATCTGTTAACGTAACTTGAAACTGGTTTTTAGTTTTAAGCTAAATAGTAGAAGTAACTCTGTCGAGGAGGTGAAGTTTTTTATCAGAGTTAGCCCACAACTAATCTTGTTAATGTGGCTGATTTTACTCTTGTTGCCACTCTCGTTGTTGCTGATGCATGTCATCGGTATTTGTCTACTAGTCCATTTAGCTCAAGAGCAGTAACATAGCCAGCTGGCAGGAGGGAAGAACAATGAGTGGCAGTAGATAAGACTAGAGTATCCATAGTTTAATGACCATTTAAGCACACACAAATTGGTAACGACTCGAAAATGATGATATCAAGTGGTAAACCTTGTCCATTGCCACGAACTCCAAACGTTCAGTAATGAAATATTGGAAAGCTCTATTCGTAGACTAAGAAAAATCCGAGTTTCCATTTTCACGAAACAAACCAAAAATAAAAATAGGAACTTGAAAAAAAAAAACAAAAACAAAAATGTTGACTTGTAAGTAACTTTTCTCCCGCACCCCATCTTCGTATTTTTTTGGGAAGAAACAGTTTTAAAAGATCGCTCTAAAAACCTAAAGAAAACAAAGGAAGCGGCAGAGCAAACAAAAGACATAACTTAATTGATTTAAAATTCTTTAACAGATTTTAACAATTATACTGCAAAACACAGAGCATGGTCTGCTTATACAATACTTTTATGTGTACTTCAGTCTTCTACAAAACTGTTTTTTGATTAAAATTTCTCTCTCTTTGCTGATTTTGATGACGATGGTGATGATGATGGTGATGATGATAATGATGATGGAGAAGGGCGGTAACAAAGGAATAAACGTAGATTAGCAGAAGTACTGACTTGTAATGCCTACTTTGATTTTTTTTTTTGTTCATCGTCGTTTTAAAATTTGTCATGTTTTTTTGTTTTATTTCTATTTCTCATTTTTTGAAATTTGTTACGTCTCTTGCTGTTCTTAGTAGTATGACAAGCTAAACCGAAGAAAGTTAGAAGAAAGAATTCAAGCCAAAGTCAGCACCTTAGTTATAGTGAATTTGCTAGGCTTGTTTTGCTACTCAGGCTTGTAGTTTTGAGACAGCAGATGAAAAAATGAATTTTTCTATTGTTGAATTTGTAAGAATTGAAGAGACAAAAGCTGATTCTCTGTTTAGCTGGGCTAGTTTCTGTTAAAATTATTCGTTAATGTCAGGAGGTCGTAGGGTTTGCTAAATTTTCGTTTGTTTGGAACAGTATAATTTTGCAAAAGACAGTTGTTGGTATAATTTTTTCAAAATCTAGATCAACAACTGTTTAAGGCTATTTAGAAGGTAGGTGTTGCAGAAACCAGTACAGAAGGAAATACTTCTTGGTTTGCCACATAAATTGCGTTTTTTTCGCAGTCCGCGGCAGCAGTGGCCTGTGACTGCTCTAGTATTAAGTGATAGGAACTTCTTTCTTTTCTTTGTTAGTCCCTGGGAAAAATAGTGTTCACAAAGAAGTCACACATTCAGATAAATTTTGCGAATCCAAAACAGTATGTAATGAATTTTGAATGTCAGTTCATTTAGGGTACGTGTGTGAATCGAACTATCTGCAAAATGTTGCAAAGAAAAGAGCCAGCAAATCATTGTTCCGAAAACAGACTCTTACTAATCGGATGAAACCGTTGCATATGGACGGAAGACAAGGTGCTGTGCCCCCCCAACCACTGTCCAAAACAAATGCGCTGGAAAATTATGAGTCCCAAGTTACTGGGTATCCAGCAAAAATAGCCTGTAATTTTGCTGCTTCAAGCACCGAAAGTGTTCAGGTGGCTCTTAAACAAGAGCTGGATGATACGGATAGTGGTAACGTAATGAACCGTTCGGTACTTTCAAATCCGGCTTGGTATAGGGACGATGAGGGTCGAACCGGATATAAGCCGAAAACTTGGCATCACAACGGAAGGGAACAACGTAGCCAGGTAAAAAAACTGAAGCACGAAAAAAATGAAGGAGTTGCTGGAAATTTGGGATCGCTTGATTTGGATAACAGAGGGATCAGCGAAGCTCGATTAGAGACAATAGGTATAAACGTTGTTGAAGAGAGCGGGGAAAAGGGAGCTATTTTTGCCTCAAAATGCGAAAGCGAACCCAAGGCAGAGTACAGGAAAGAAGGGTATTTAAGGGGATTTGTTAACGACTTTGCTGGAACATGGCAGAAGTTAAGCAGCAACATATCTACAGAGAATAACTCATCATCGAGCGATTTAAGTCAGGTCTCTCTTCACTCACATAAGAGTGTAACTTTTTCGTCACAGGTTGAGATAAACGAAATAGAGGATACTGAAGAGGACGATAATAAAGCTATGTGTCACTCAACATGTGGGAAAAGTAGAGAACCATGTTCATCTTGCTGCTTGAGCAAGAAACGTGAGACCACGGAAAACCATAATAAACGTAGGGTTGAAAAGTGGAAAACATCCAAAAGCAGCAGTGGAGACAGAAAGGAGATTAGCTGCGCGTCGTTTTTGCTAAACTCTACCTGCTCGGACAGCATAATCGTAGAAAAGGAGTCATTGGATGATTACTGTTTTCAAAGTAACTCAAACACATTGGAGGAACGAAGCAACCCTTCGTTTGTTTCCAGCTCTGAATATTCCGACCCTCCTTACGGGATCAACTACAAGAATTACGAGGGCATGTACGACGAGTATGCTCATCCTGAAGTTCATAGTCGAACTAGAAGAGATAATCAAGCCTGCTCTAATGCGGAAGAAGGTTTTCCACAGTATTTAACCATCGATTTCAAAAGGTCGCTGGAAAGCCTTGTACAACTTCTGCCAAGTTTGCCAAGATCCGCAAGCGGTTATTTCGAGGAACATCACAAAGATTTTCCCACTACTTCCGCATCAAAATGCGGAGGTTTTCTTGCAAGTTATTTGGAGAACTTCAATGATGTTATGCAGAGATCATATTATGAAAACGTACCTTCATCCACTTCATTAGCTGATGATTCTAGCTCTAAGAGTTGTCGGTTGTCTAACGCAACTCTGAAACTTAGTGAAAATATGTCAGAATCTGAATTTAAATTGCTGGAAAGTCAAATAAGTCATGTAACTGAGGGCTTTCAAATTCAACCATACAGCCCATCGATGCAATTTCAGTTGCCAGTTTACAGAATGCAGTCCTTATCTCGACGGCAGCAACCGTTTTCTGACGAATATCTTTTGGGGTTGAGGCTAGGGAGATTGAGCAATGAAAGCATTGCGTCATCAAGGGAATCTCTTATGAGCCTGACGACTTCAGAAGCTGAGAGAATTGTGAAACGCAATTTTAACTACTGAAAGAAGTGAGTGCTTGTAAATTAATTCTTCATTTTTTTTGCTTCTTCATTTCTGTAAATTAATACATTCTCCAGTCAGTTACAAATAGCGATTAAACTCTTTTAGATTATCTTTTTTGAAGTTTTGGTTTCTAGACACTTCTTTCTCACTACTAATTCTTTCACATTTAAACCAAAATTTAATTTCTGAATTTCAACGTTTTTCTTTTATGATAAGTGCTGCTTAGGCTTTAGTTTTTATGCAACACTTTACGCACTGTTCTTTTCCCGTTTAGGTCTGCGGCTATAAAAGACTAGGCGCTTTGCCAATGTCCTGTTAAAAAACTGTTTTTTTTTT